TCTACTCTGTCGCTCGTCGCTCCCTTCCAACGTCTACACCTCCGACCGATCCCATCAGGTGATATAATCACTGTAACCTGGAATCTTTCTTGTAATTTGTCCATGACTACAGATTTTTATTAAAATTTTTATTTTAGTGTTTTTTTTTGTTCATCATCGTCAGATAGAAATTGAAGTTTATTCGAGTTTTAACGGTTGACATCGTAACCCAAATCCTAACAATCTAAGGTTCATCAAGGTTTGTCGATTTTAGCTCGGCTTGATACATACGAACACAGGATATTGAGGTAATATTTTTCTTCTTAATAATAAATACGTAATTAATCCTATCTATGAGATTTAGTGTTGATTTATTCCCTGTATCTTGCAATTTAAACTTTTTTGTTATCGACATTTTTTTATTACTTTCATTTGTAATCTATATGTCAATTCTAAACTGGTTATGGAGCTTTTTGCTTGTGGATATTGGAGGATTTCGTCTATTTTGAGATTTAAAGTTCAAATTTCAACCGTAGTTTTATAACTGAGATATATTATTGAATCACATGTTATATCTATTTGACTTTCATACTAAGTTTTCTTTTTATTTGTATTAATTTGATCGCTTTTTAATATAAAACAATGATGACAAAAACTTGTTTCCTGGAACATATATGTTGTGTGGAGCTTTGATGAGTTTTTAATTTTAATATTCATTATATTATGGTTTTCAATTTCATGGCTCTCGATGATGTTTATTAATTTTACTTTGATTTTAAAAAAATACTTGATCAAATGGATGGTTGGTCATTGTAAGAGGCGTCCAAGTTGTCACAAATTTTACTCCTCCTTTCTATTTATGATTCATATATCTGTCCATCAACTTATGAAACTACTTTCTAGTAATCCATTAGTGGTTTGTGTATTTTATACAATTCCAATTCTATCGGAATGGAATCACGAATTCAATTTCTATCGGAATGGAAACACGAATTCTAATTCTATTGGAACGGGATATGAATATTTTCTCACTGGTTATGGTGCAATTAACAAGTCCATATAATTTTCCAAAGGAATTTAGTTTTTTATTTTTCATTTGCTAATGCGTTATTGGATTCTAAAATACAATTGGATTTGTTTTCACAGAAGTTAATGTTTGAAGAACGGACAATAAAATTAAAAGTGTTTCTTAGCAACATTATTCTTTTAGAATGAATTAGTTTATTTGTTAGATTTTGATGTTTTGTTTCCCGATTTGAAAGTTTTTTAGTTTTATTCCATAACAATAAATGCAATTTTTTTAGCAATTGTTACATGTATTCTATAAGAATTAATATAATTTTTGTTTTTATTTTCAGTTAATGGTTCGAGAATTTGTTATTCTATAAGAATTTTTTAAAGTAATGATCAAAAAATATGTTCAAGAATATTTTTATTATTTTATGGTTCAAGAATATTTTTATTTTTGAATATACTCATAAACATATTCTGTCAAAATATCCGAATTAAAAAAATTATATTTCGTAAATTCGGATTTTTAAAATTAATAGAATCTAGTTTCCCTTAAAATATGCAATTTTCCTTTATTAAATCTATATTAATAGACTAAAATACCATTGTAATTAAATTAGATGGTATTTTTCAATTATATTTAATTCAATAATATGTATTAATCATTTTCTTAAAATAAGTAAAATGATTGGCCCACAATCATTCCTACCTCCATACAATAATTAGTTAGAATATAATAACCTAAGCGTACACACACACACACATATATATATATATACACACACACACACACACACTAGTAAAAAAATAATTTTAATCTTTTTTTGTCATATATCATTCTAATACAACTTCACATTAATATTATGTCATGTGTCAATGAGATATATATTAGGCAAATAACTATCACAATTAATGAGGTTAAGGTTTTAAATAATAGATTAAACTTTTTATATAAGCATTTATTTTTTTAATTATACGTTAAATTTGAAGTTATAACTAACTTTAAAATTTTAGTATATCTCTTAATTGATAATTTATTTAATATAATTGATTAATAATTATGAATTTTTGCTATAAAAATTGAATTAGTTTTATAACCGTTGTTTCCATAGGTTATATATATATATATATATATATATATATATATATATATATATATATATATATATATATATATATATATATATATATAACTGTATTCAAGGGGTGCATTTTTATTTTTTGCACAAAGCATTCAACATCAATATAAATCGAAACACAAGAATTCTTTTTACTTTCTTGTCAATACAATACGTTACATGACCATTTACATGGTTAAACTTACCCCTGCCAAAAATACCCGATACTCGAATTACCCGCTTAATTTTTTCGGGTATCGGATAGATTTTTTCAGGTAATCGGGTAACCCAATCTCTCTTCAGTTCAGGTATAGGGTACGTTTGTTGGGTTTCGGATATACCCGAATCACCCAAATTATTTTAATTTTTTTCATAGAACTTATACTCTATAGCAGGTATTTGATCACGCTTAAAGTAACTATCATTCTTGTAAAAGATAAATCTCTTTTATTATGACAATATGACACTAACAATATTAAAAAAAAAGTTGTGTATATATTATCATGTTCTTTACAACATAACTGTTTTCTAAATTATGGTTTTCATTGTAACTAACAAACTCTTTATCTTGACGAAACTTCAGAACATGACAAAACTTATGCCTACAAATATCTTAAACATTTTAAACTTTTAAACTGAGATCTTTAAATATTTGTTTTTTAACATCTTATTAGATTAGATTAAGCTGTTAAAAAATTGTTTGGTATCTCAAATATTATTGACTAAAAAATCTCAACGTTCAAAGTTTGAGTAACTTCGTTTATGTCTCGTTTGTTTATATAAACAATACTAATAAAGCACGACGTATTTATTTTATTAAATTTATTTCAGGTGCAGTTAAAAAAATTTATATATATTTTGGGTAATACCCGAATTACCCAAACCCGACCCACTACCCAAACCCGAAGTAAATTGGGTCGGATAACGTGTATCTTTTTAAACATGAAAAACCCGAATTACCCGATCCGAATTACCTGAAACCCGAAAAAATTACCTGATCAACACCCCTAGCTAAACTTCTGTTTGAACCTCTTAAAATTTTTGAATGAGCTAGCAGAAAAATTAATGAAATTTATTGGAAGAAGATTGAAATTTTAGTTTTTAAATTTCACTATAAATATCCAATAGACTATATGGAACATTTATCGAAGTAGGTTTACTTTTAAATAAAATTGTTATTAATAATAATAATAATAATAATAATAATAATAATAATAATAATTTAAAGAGTATTAATTGAAATCATCAGTTTTAGTGGATTTGAATTTGAAAAAAAAAATTTAATAAAAAACATCAAAAATTTTCAAAATTCCTTTGTATAGTGAATTCCAACAAAATTTAATTTGACAAGAAAATGGAACAAAACAAGATACGAAATCAAATTTACAATTCTATTTCATCAAATTATTTTGAATTCTATAAATCACAACCACTCAATTTCTTTAAATGATATGAGACGATCACGTCTCAAGAAAATGCAAGGAAAGAAAAAGACAAAGTCTAATCCGATGATGGGTCACATGGTTCATTATGAAGTGGAAAGGTGTCAAGCTTTTACTTGTTTTGCTGGTACAAAATCTATCTATATGTGGGTGTTGGTGAATTGTGAACGGTGACAAAAAAAAAAAAAAAAAAAAAAAAGAGGAACTTCAATAGTTTGTGTTCGTTGGTGGGTATAGATTTGATCAAACTTTAATGAAATTCACTTGGTGATATTACATATATTTGAGTATCGATTAAATATGAAACTTCCGTTGGTGGGTATAGATTAGATCGAACTTTAATGAAATTCACTTGGTGATATTACATATATTTGAGTATCGATTAAATATGAAACTTCCGTTGGTGGGTATAGATTAGATCGAACTTTAATGAAATTCACTTGGTGATATTACATATATTTGAGTATCGATTAAACTAATCCTTACATCGTTAACAATTTTATATATATATATATATATATATATATATATATATATATATATATATATATATATATATATATATATATATATATATAGGTTCAGGTTCATTTGAGACCATTCTAATTTTGTGAGACCGTGAGACAAAATCTAAAAATAATTTTAAAATGCAAAATAAATGGAAAAATCCAAAAAAAACGATTTATTTAAACTACGTAGTTTTGATAAGTGATTTAATAAAAAAAACAAAAAAACGATTTCCATATGCGTTTCTTTATTCAGTGGCAATTTCCATACATGATTTAATTGCACTATTCTTTTTGATCGACGCCTTCCATAATACCTTAGAAATCGGAATTACAAGATAAAACGTTTTCAATTCAATTGCCATACGATCACAAAAAGGATTTCAAAGAAATCGAAATTACAAAAAAGATTTTAAAGAATTCGGAATTACAAGTTATTGTAATTCATAACAAAAAAAGTTTATGTTCACAGAAGAGTTAAAAAACGATTGCAAAGGAAAAAAATCACAGAAATCGTGATTCCCAGAAAACACGATAAAGTGTGGCTGCAACATCCAAGAAGTTTCAATTCACAGGTTAATATCCATGTTACTTTTGTTTGGTTTTGCTATTACACTTTTCACAATTCACCAATGATTTCACTTTCAACTACTATAGACCGTTATTAGAAATTTTAGTGGTATTTGATGGAACAATTCTTGAATTGGGAAAAGTGATTATTATGATAAGTATATTAATTTTGCATATGTTAACTGTTCCGATTGTTTATCAACATCATTTTTATTTTATATGTTCTATTATTATTCATGTTGGTTTTGTTTGAAATTTATTTGAATTTATTGCTTTTATAATAATGAAAAAGTTAAGTCATCTCTAAAAAGTTACTGTCATGGCATTAATAGGGTCACTCCTTATTGTCTTTTACTTGTGGTTTTGTGCAGACCATGATGTTAGAAACCGAAGCAGGTGATCAAGCTATAGAACTGTATATAAATGAAAATGTTGACACAAATGATTTTGTGGAAGCAACATATGAATCTGAAGAACTTAATGATTTCGGTGTGAACATCGAATTTGATGAGGATGATGTTAATGATGAAAGGATACTGGGAAAGGTTTTTGATACACCCGATGATGCCTATACATTTTATAATGATTATTCATTTTTGCATGGCTTTGGTATACGTAGAGATGACACAATTAAAAATCCTAAAACAAATGAGCCTTTTCGGAAGATATATGTATGCAACAAAGAAGATTTCAAACGGATGGACAAAAATGCGTCAAGTGAAAATGAGATAAAACGTCGTAGAGATGTTAGAACCGGATGTCAAGCAAAGCTTCGAATAACAAGACAGGAGGATGGAAAATGGTTGGTGGACTCGTTTAATGACACACACAATCACGACTTGACCATGACACCTACGAAAGTGATGAAGCATCGGTCTCATAGCAATTTTCACCGTTCAATAGAAGGTAAATCTCTTATGGTGCAATTTGGTCAAGCAGGGTTGAAACCTTCTCAGATTAAAAAGGCTGTTAATACTATGAAAACCTCAAATTTAGCTTATGTAACTTCAAAGCAATGTGCTGATGTCTTATCTGAGCATCGAAAACAACATAGAGGAAAGGAGTTCTATGGACTTATAAAACATTTTCAAGATAAAACATTAATTGACAGTGACCAGTATTTTGTCGTAGATTTGTCTGATGATGGGTATCCTAGAAATATCTTTTGGGTTGATGGTAGATCAAGAGATGCCTATACAAAGTTTAGAGATGTTGTTGTGTTTGATGTCACTTATATGACTAACAAATTCAAGATGCCTTTTGCTCCCTTTACTGGGGTGAATCATCATGGACAGTCTATACTTTTTGGTGGAGCATTGCTTGAAAATGAAAAGGAAGAGACATTTGAATGGTTATTTGAACATTTCCTAAAATGTATGTTTGGCAAGTATCCGAATGCGATTATTACCGATCAAGACAAAGCTATGGGAAATGCAATAAAAAAAGTGTTTCCAGAGACCCGACATCGCTTTTGTTCATGGCATATCAGGAAGCATGAAACTGAGCACCTTCGATCGTATGTTTCACGTTATAGTGATTTTCAAGAGACGCACAGACAATGGGTAAATAGTGACACCATTGAACAATTTGAAGCAACATGGGAAGATATGTGTATTAAGTATGAATTGGAAAACAATTGTTGGCTTAGTGACATGTATAACCAACGTATACATTGGGCTAAACCTTTCTTGAAGGATATTTTCTTTGCTGGTATGACTACAACCGGACGAAGTGAGAGTATCAATTCATTTTTTGATGGATTTGTTAACTCGAGGACCATGTTGAATGAATTCGTTCTACAATACGACAAAGCAGTTGAGTCACGAAGGGCCGCCGAAGAAGATGAAGACTTCAAGACTATGAACTCGAGGCCGGTTCTTTCTTCAGTGCATCCAATCGAAGCAAAAGCAGGTCAATTTTATACTAGAAAGATGTTCGATACTTTCAAAAAAGAATGGACCGAAGCTATTATCAATTTGACTCACGAGACTATAACAAAAACTACAGAAGAAAGCATATATAGAGTTGGGCGATTAGATGTTAATAAAAAATATTGGCGTATAGTATTTTTACATTTCGTTCTTTAAATCAAGTCATCGTCACATGTTCGTGTTCAATGTATGAGACAAATGGGATTTTATGCAAGCATAGCTTATATGTGATGAAGAAGAAGCATGTTCAAGAACTGCCGAGTCACTATATTTTACCGCGATGGACCCTTGATGCTAGGTACAAACTTGGTAGTGCTAGTATCGGACTCGGAGAAATAAATACTGAAAATGGAGTTAGTGCCTACACATTATTTTGTGTCCGTTCAAATTTTACTAAACTTATTGAACAAGCAAGGGACTCCCCTTTGGAGATACAAAAACTTAATACGATATTGATAAGACTTTTAGATGATCAAGCAAATCAAAAGAAATCTATGTCTTTGGAAAATGCGTCTCAAAGTTCTTGTATGGGAGTATCGCAAGTAGATATGATGCCACAATTATCTGTCCGTGATCCTCTTGGTCCAACTACTACAAAAGGACGTCCTAAACTTGCTAGTAGAATGAAGTCTTCTTTAGAAGCCCCCAAAAAACGAACATGCTCTTACTATCAAGGATTGTGTCATTATGCCACTAGTTGTTCAAAAAGAAAGGTAATTACAATAATAATTTAATTATCATGGTTGAGAACTATAATAATTATATTAACAATTTTTTTTATTTTTTTTCATGTATTAGGCGGATGCATTGCAAGAGACATAATGATGAGATGTGTTGTTTCTGAGAGCAAAAGAAAAATTAGATGTTTCATGACATTTTTTCTTGGTTAACTGCACCTTTTTGATGTTTTAGACTCATACGATGTATGAATAATCCAGATTTTATTGATGCTTCTTAACAATTTTTAATGTTTTCGAATGAAATTATGAGGGTATTTTGTGAAAAACGAAATTATGAGGGTATTTTGTGAAAAAAACTGAAGTATAATGATATTTTGTGAAAAAACAAAATTATGAGGGTATTTTGTGAAAAAAAACAGAAGTATAATGATATTTTGTGAAAAAAACTGAAGTATAATGGTATTTTGTGAAAAAACAAAATTATGAGGGTATTTTGTGAAAAAAATGGAAGTATAATGGTATTTTGTGAAAAAAAAAGTATGAGGATATTTTGGTTAGTGTTGTGTTAATCTAGGCATAAGTTTGATGGTTTTTAAAGTTGTTGGACGATTTTGCCCTTGTCCCAAAGATGGCAATCCTTAAGAACATAAGGAAAGGGAAGTTCAAATCACAAACAATACAACCAAAAGCGAAGAATCTCAATTGCTAATTTTTATTAAAAATGATAACTATAATTACATTTGTCATTTTGAAAAAAAAAAGGATAAGTACATGCTATACAACAACCACATCTATAATTCTAGAGTTTCTACGATTCTTTCAATTCTTTAAGTTTCAAAAATACTTTGTTTTTAAGAAATTCTAACCACAGACTCTATTGCAGCCACAAACAATTTATCATGAAGAGAAGACAAAGATTCCAACAAGGCTTTGCAAATTTGACTTTGGACAAAGTTTGTTTTTGTTAAGATCCTTTGATCCCAAATATTTTGGGCTTTTAACATGTCCATTATTATGAAAAAATGATTTTCAGATCATGGAACCTGCAACAAGGGTATTTCAGTCATTAGTTAGTAAGGTTGTGTATAACTTATAAGGATAAGATTTATTACACGAAGGTATTTAAAGAAAAAAATGAAATATTACCTTTTGTAACGAGAACTCAAACAAGTATGCATGACTTTGTTATGAATACTTCAAATTGACCTTTGCTTAAGAAACCAATGGAAACAAATAATAAGAAAGACAACCTTGTAGCCTAACCTGAGCCAATGGGGTCCCATTAAAAGTACATAACTTTAATTTGGTTTTTCTTTAATTGTGAAACAATATATTTATAAAGATATTTTGATTAAAAAAAGATGTAATTAACGTTATAAAAAGATAACAGATTTTAAAAATCTACAAAGAAAAAAAAATTAAAAACAGGTGCACTATGTTGGAAATGCTTTTAGAGTTTTAGTAAACAGGTAGATTAATTTAATCACTTATGTCAATACATGGGAGACCACTTCCGGTAGGAAAAGTAAGAGAATCTTACAAGTTAATATTAGCAAAGATCAGTAGGTGCTATAAGCAGAAATAAAACTAGTAGAATACAATTTCTTTAAGATCATATATAAGTAATATAAGTCAAACCATGTTGGCATTAACTACCTTTCATATCATAATGCCGATTTCAAATTGTTTAGCCTTCTAAGATGACCTTGGTGAGATTGTTGCACCTATAGCATCCTCATCTTCCTTCTTACCTCTTTCTTTTTATACTCCTGACCTAGAATTCAACATATAAACTGATAATTTTCATTCAACATATACAGCCACAGAAAGCACCTGAATAAAAAATGAAAAAACGGTTAATGTCTTGCAGGAATGAAGTATTAGAAAGATGAAAAAGGGTTAAAGTTTCAACCTTTCTGGCGTTATGTTGACCGATGAAATTTCAACAAAACAGAACACACACGATGTGCTCCAGAAACTTTTGCCCAGTCTTTTCCCCCATTGTGTTTAAGACCACTACGAGCTGGTTTTGACAGCAATATCAACATATTTCAAATATAGAGGAAAACTGTCACACCCCAAAACCAGGAACGGCGGAAACGTTCTGGGGCGGAGGACGTCATGTATAATATCAACAACAATGTAAAGTAGTAAACAAGCAACAACATCATCCATTGCATTAATAATATAATTATTTTACAAATGTGTTCTGTTAAATTTTGATAAACACTAAAGCATAAATCAAAATGAAAGATAAGTCTTGAACAAGCACCATCTTCCTTTCTCCTTGCATCGTTACCTGTCTATGATGACCTGAGGATACAAGTAATTTTGAAAGCGAGTATCAGCTTTGAAGCTGGTGAGATCATAAGTATTAATGTGTCTTAATTTGTAAAACTTATAATTTTTAAGACTTGACATTGTTTTGAAAGAAAGCTCGTATAAGTATAAAAATGTTTGTAGAACAACTGTAAATGTTTGAAAAACCCTAGAAATCCCTATGATTCCTATTAGTAACAAAAGGAGTCTTCTACCAAGACTTGACTGTTCTCAATGTAATCTTCTACCAAGTCCTAACTGTTCTGAATGTAGTCTTCTACCAAGACCTAACTGTTTTGATTGTAGTCTTCTACCAAGACCTAACTGTGTTACTATTATTATCATTATAAGAATTTGTATCCTTTGGTACTAAGATACTTACATATAATTCACCTCATTGGTCATGTGAATGAGTCACAAAATAAAGGCAATAATACAACTAACCTGAATATTACCCTTTGGTACTAGGGTAACTATTATTGTTAACTTTAAGACATCCGTAGACGTACTCTTACCTCTGTTGCTAACAGCTGGGTATAGGAATAGTTAATCCCTTAATCGTATACCTGTAATGGTACCAACCGTTGACATCCGTGGATGTACTTTCACCTCTGTGGCTAACAGAAATTTTAGGAATGGTCAATCCCACAACTGTATCCTTGGGTACTAGGATAATAAACCCAATCTATCTCGTCGGTTATGTGATTGAAATCACAAGGTAAAGATAAGAATGAGGGTTTTGATAACAGAGTCGATACATATAAAATGTAATAGGACTCCTCCTGATATATCTATGTAACAGTGCTCTTATAAGCATGATCATGTAAAAGTAAACATGTATATGTACTTATGTAAATGTGCTCATGTAATTGTAATCATGTAAAAGTAATCATGTATATGTACTTATGTAAAAGTGCTAGCTGTAATGTGTGTTCTCTCTATCTAGCAAGTATAGTAATGTACTGTAATGTTCTAGAAGGTATTGACTCATGAATGAACTGACTCATTTATATGATATCTCGTTCTAGTAATTGTTCTAGCATCTTCCTGAACTACCATATGGTAGCTTTCTAGTAATCTAAATGGTACGTATGGACATGGATGTATACCCTTGCTACCCAAGGGCATAGGATGAACTGGAAGGACCTTTTATGACTATATATGTGTACATGATATATAACTAATATTTAAACGACCTTCGGACGAATACCCAAAATCCCACCAGACCACATCTCAAGGCGCAAAAGGAAATAGGGTGGATAGCCTTCCTAAGTCTTTTAAACATTTCTTATATAAGTATACATATAGAGGCATGCAATTTATAATATAAAAGCATAAATAAGATTTGTAAGACATTTGAAATATAAGTATTATTTTAAGAAAAGATCGACTTGGTGTCAATCTATAAAACAATTTGAAGGCATAAGTTTAATAAAACAGTTTAAGTATAAGGAAACATTTGTTTGAAACACAGTTGTAAATAAGTTTGAAAGGAAATGTACGGAGTAAGCTGTACAGTGTAAAAAGGGTTTAAAACATATAAAATGTTTATAAAAAGTCATTTGAAGGAAACTGTTTGGTAAAACGGCTAATAAGTAGCCAAATCATTTGAATGTTGTATATTAATCACATGTGATTGATGTAATAAGTAATATAATCCTACTTACTAATCACATGTGATTGACATAATAAGTAGCATGATTCTACTTGTATCCCCCCCCCCATAAAACATTTAAAATAGTTTAAAACATTAGTTAAGGGGTATGAACTCACCTGCAGTAAGTGACTGGAATTGCACGGGCTGTTATCGTACGGAAGGATCGGACAAGTGCTTGGTGTCAAGTGGAGACTTAGACACACACAATGATCCTAATTACATATGAAGACATATGTATATAAATAATTAGAGATTTAATCACTAATCATACAAGTATAAACATTTAAGCGCGCGAGGACAACACTTTTGGTCAAGTGCTAGGAGGCTAATGGGTTGCAACAAAGGAGTGCAATGCCCCTAATGGAAGTTTAAGGTCAAAAGACCATATTCATTAGAGTTTACGGCCCAGGGGAGTAAGCTCCTGGCCGTAAACTCTCAAACAAGTCATGAAATGGAGTTTAGAAGTACTACAACCTTATAGGGGAATTGTTTCAAGGCTTTACAAGTGTTTGGGCACCATATTGACTCCTTTGGGAGTTTACGGCCCAAAGACCCCTTTTTCCCTTGGAGTTTACGGCCGTAAACTCCCTTGGAGGGTTCTTATTTTCCTTTCAAGTCTCCAACATTTCTAGGAACAAGTCTAGGCTTCAACCATTGGCTTAAGGAAAGTTTATGGCACTAAATGGGACCATTTGATGGAGTTTACGGCCATAGAACTCTTTGGGCCGTAAACTCCCTCACACATGAGTTCTAAGAATTTTAACTTGTCCAAAACTCATCTAGGTACTTGCCCTAAAAGTCTCTTGGCCTAAGGAAGTGTCTAGGGTGTCCTTTGACCCCTTAATAGGAGTTTACGGCCCAAGAAATACTCTTGGCCGAAACTCTTCAACACTTGAGCTTTTCATGAGTTTTCTAGGTCCTAAACACTTTAAGGTATTTGCCTAAAATGAAGACTAAGCCTTAGGAAGAGTTTGAAGGATTTTGGCACTTAATCTTGGAGTTTACGGCCCAAGGAGCTACTTGGCCGTAAACTCCCTTCTAGAATTGATTTCTAATTTTTTGTTGGCCTAAATCATGAGTTTAAGGCTTCTAGGTTTTTGTTCTAAGGCTAAAGGAACATTAGGCACTCATTTGTGCCCTTTACTTGGAGTTTACGGCCCAAGAGG